CTCCTGTAGAACCTGTTTGTTCTACTAAGTCTGCAGGGACATGGTTGCAAAATGGTTCTATTGAGAGTACTGCTAACAACAGGAATAACTTTGGTAGTCAGAAGTCCACATGGAGCACCCGAAACAGAACTGCAAAAGTAAAACCTCATTTAAAACAAACTGGGTCTAAAAGTTCCAAAACTGTGGGTGTGCAAAGAAAAAAGAATTTCAAACGGAAAAGTAAGGATAATTGCCCAGAACCTCCAAGAAAGAAAATAATGTTGCACAGAAAGCGTAAAGAAAAGAATCAGGCGGAAGTTATTAGTGAATCAGGTGTCCCTTACAAACTGAGGGCATCAAAAGAAACTGTGAGGACTTTGAAATTACTTCCTTTTAACTCTAAACAGCTTGTAAAATGCCCCCGGAGAAATCAACCAGTTGTTGTGCTTAACCATCCTGATGCAGATGTTCCTGAAGTTGTAAATGTAATGAAAACCGTTGCTAAATTTAAGGGACATGTTCTTAAGGTTTCATTGTCAAAAAGAACTATTGAAGCGCTTTTGCAGCCAGCTTTCTGCAATCCTTTGGACAGAACTACTGATGATCTTTCTCAAAAGAGGCACAGGACAATAAAACCTATTAGCCCTGTAAAAGAAAGGTTTGTCTTAAAATTGACACTGAAAAAGACTAGCAAAAACAATTACCAGATTGTAAAAACTACCTCTGATAATACCTTGAAAGCTAAGTTTAGCTGCTGGTTTTGTGGTAGAATATTTGACAATCAGGATAATTGGGTAGGACATGGACAGAGGCATTTGATGGAGGCTACTCGAGACTGGAATTCATTAATGTAATGATGACCAGTGAAGAAAATCTAAATATCATACATTACAGATTTTTTTTCAAAGAGAATCAACTGAACTAGGATACATAAGTAATTTTGTTTTGTATTTCAGTATTGTAACTGAGGTTTAGAAAAGATGCAGAGTGCTTGTTTTTTAAAAGGAAGAGCAGATTCTCTGTAGCCATCAAGCTTTGAGACAGATCAAGGAGATTTGTGGTTTAGATAACTTGTAACTAACTGCAAATACAATTCCATAAAAATATATTATTTTTTGTTACTACTATCATGTCCTATATTTTTATTCTATAGAATGAGTTTTCAGGGCTTTTATTCTGTATATATTTAAAAAAATCTAAACATGTAAATATTTTTATACCTTTCAGTTATTTGTTATAATTCTTGCACAGAAATTGCCCCTCCCCCCAGTTTTTCAATTCTGTGCATGCACTACTAAAAACAATTTTTAAAATCTTCTCAACTACACACAGCTGTTATCCTGGGATTTTTGTTATTTTCACTTGTTAACTTTTGATTTTGCTTTTCAGGGATTGAACACTATTGTTAGCAAGTGCCTAAAAGATGTGAAGCAGTTTACATTATGTCAGTTGTGTAACCATAGGTCTATATAGGCCCATTTCCCCAATAGTTTCATTTAAACAAAGCCATATGTGAATGCTTTAAGCTATGCACATGACACTTGTACTATTTCTGTGCAGTTTGTCTACTTTCTTAGTGAAGTATTTTTCATATAAATTAATAAAATGTTACGATTGTGGTAATATGGTGAGCCTGAGAATGGATTCAGTTGAAAAGATACAGTATATATATTCATAATGTATATGGTGTTTAAGAATGGTGAACATTCCTAATCTGTATTGACTCTGTCACTATTAAATTTGTTATAACTTGTGTTTACAGATTATGACTGTGAGCATTTGTAGAAAATACCTTTGTACCATGTCTGCCACAAACTACAGGAAGGCCAGGATATGGTGAAGTGCAAAGCACCATTTTAGACCTCTAACTGCATTGCAGTTTTATTCTAGCTGGTTGTAATTTGTTCCCATAATGACTAAATAGTATTTTCTGCTATTTAAATCTCTGAGGTTTAGGTTGTGTGCAAGCCTAGGGATAGTTCCCTGTGACTGTTTCTACAAGATGAAAGTGAAGATTGACTTACTACCAATGAAACAATTGGAAGTCTTTCATGGATGTCACAGGGATATCACCAATAACAGAATTTGACTTATGTTACATTTTAAAGGGTGTTACAATGAAAATGATTTAAAAAAAAATCTTAAGTATCTTCAGTACCTACCTATGTTTTTCTTTCTTGATGTGTCTGTTGGCAAGAAGATGCACACTAGCCTTGTAGCTGGTGAGTTATGCATGGGAGCCAGCTGAAGTACCTGAGACAATCAAGGCAGCATAGTTTGGATGAATTAATATACAGTTGGTGTGTGTTCTGTATCAAAATAATATAATTTTGTGCTGTACAGTGGGCTTGAGTTCTGACATTACTTTGGCTAGGAGCTTTGAAGAAGACAGTGTGGTGGTGAGGAAGTGTGTTGGAATGAAACAGCAATAGGAAAGCACAAAAATGTTTTAAGCTTTTTGACTAGAGGGATTTGTTGCCTCATCTTGCTCTCTAAACCCTGACATTATTCTGGACATTGCCATTGTCTTCTTTGGCATAAATACCTGTGAAGTTTGTTGATAAAAACTACTTGATGCAACTACAGCAAAAATGACCAATTTTTGTTCAGTTTACTTAGACCTGAGGTGGAAGTTCTGTGTAGGACTAGGGGGTTTCTCTGTATTAGTGAATCGTGAGAGTGACAGCTGTCACTGGAATTTTTTTCCCCTCCAGCTTGTTTTCCAATGAATTGGGTAACCTTAAACAATACTGTGAAAATGATCATTTTAAAGCTAGGAAATTTTGAAATAAGGTTGCTTTATATAATCTTAATGCATTCTCATGTGTCACTTTTCTGTGACCATCCATATCATTCAGTGCAGAGAATTGTTGTTCCCTTCTGACCAGTGATTTGAGTATTTTGTTTCCCCACCCTTCATTATGTCCTTGCATTATTTACCACATATTGTTCAAGCACTGTTCTGAATATATAATACCTTTTTTCTTACGAGTTTTTCCAGAATGCTTTGTTTGAGATCCTAAGAGTTTGGCACTTAATACAGATCAGATTTCAAAGAATTTTAAGTGACACTGCAATGAAATTGAGATCACAATTAATGATTGTCAGGAGAAAGTCTGATTTCAGCAGTCTGACCAGCATTGCAGTGGGTGGTACAGGGACAATATACAGTTCTTCAATAAAATGTTCAACTGCTTTAACAATATGAGGCTACCTTTTCACATTCTGACTCCTGCAATATTTGTTTGCACATTTCTCGGCATCTTTTATGAATGGGAAAGGTGTATCTTACAAAATACCATACAAACCATTCTTTCATTACACAGCTGTCATTTATCCCTGAAGTATCGTGTCAACCAAGTGAAATACATAAACCCATATTGAAAAAGTCAATGATCATATGTTTAATACTTGTATTATAATGAATATATTTGATGTGACAAATTAAGTTTGCACAGGTAACCTGATTTGAAGAGTGTTTTGAATGCTTGACTTTGCAACCATTGACATTTTAAGATTGCTTGTAACATTGTGTGTATAGCAAGAAAACCTTAACTTGGTTATAGACCTTAACTTGGTTATCATATTTGGGGACAGACAGAAATAGGTGCAAGTGGAGGGTCAAAAAGTGTTTGTTTGTGCAGTATTCATGTGTTTGTGTAAAGTGGCCTTAAAGGGACCTGAAACCTAGTCCACTGTATATTCTTTGCAAGATGCGTAGTCATCAGTAAGTCATGGTTTCTCTTCCTGAGCAACTCCAGTGTTTTAACAAAAAACTTGTGTTCAGTATTTGTTCCAGAGCTGTTGTCATGAGACATGTTTTTTTTACATTTCCTAAGAATCTCTGCCTGCTGCTGGTGGTTTAGATTGAAGGAGGAATGTAGTTTTGTAACTTGGACGTGTGAACGCTTGGTCTTTGAGAATGCAAGTTCTTGCGCCTTTCATGGAGTAACATTGTCAGGAATGATGTGCAGTATTCATTGTACTCTCCTTTCTGCATCAGGTAGGCCGGCAACACTCCTCCTTTGTACATTAGTAAATACGATACTTTGCCCTGTGTTCTCAGGCAAAAAATACACTTCATTTTAAAGCTAACTTTTTAGTTCTGTTTCCCCTTCCTCCCCCATTCAGTTACTGACAATTATATGGAAGAGACATTAGCTGACAATATCAAAGAAATGTGGAAGGAGAGATGGGTTGCTGTGTCTGTCAGAGGTCAGATTTGCTACCTGGTGGGAACACTGGACAGCACTAACTGGTGGCAGCTGCTGGAACTGCAACAGTTGTAAGATAAAGTTTCAGGGATAGGATTGCACCGAGTTACCATTTCCTAGATTCTGTGGTGGCTGCTGAATCAATAGTGTTAGGATTTTTAATGCTTTCAACAATTCATTTTATATCCTTGCAAAATGCAAAATTAGCACTTGGGGATGGAGCATGCTGTGTTAAAAGTGGTAACTTGGTGCAGTCCTATACCTGAAGCTTGCTCAAGCCTTTCTCCAGCTTAAACTGTGTTTCAAAGTATGTCTACACCACAGCCTGTCCAAGCTATAAAAAAATCTATCTTAGGTATGGAAAGCAGTGTAACTAGTCTGCTTCTTTTCTTCCTGTATAAAACTGAGAATAGGAAAATAGGTGATCACATACTGGTGGGCTTGGTGTCATCCCCCTGAACTTTGTGTCTAGAATGTTCTCAGGATGAATGGATTATTTTGTGAAAGGTGGTGTTGCCTATCAAATCCCTGCCTTATTCTGTCAAAACTATGAGGTACCCCTGTAATGATGTAGAATGTGGCTAAAAAGAAGGATTTGAGGATGAAAGTGGCTGAATGTTTATATAGAGCGTATTTGTAAATCAGCCACAAATTTACACGTGGTGCTGAGCACATAGTGCTGAGGGGCAGGAGCAGCAGTGAATGCTTTGAGTAGAGAAAGGGCTCAATATTGCTAACTACCTTAAATACCTGATACTTTGACTGTCATCTGGAAGTCTATAGGTACACTTTTTCATGCTTTTCCCCCCCCACAGCTTTAGAGTGATGTTGATATTACACATTTAACTCTGAAAGCAGTGCTTTAAGAATCTAGACACTTTTGTGAGGAGCAACATACAAAGGTTAACAAGAAACAGTTTTGTTAAGAAAGTTTAAATATGATGCAGCATGTCAGTGAATAAGGTGAGGACTACATGAATGCAAAAAAAAAAGCTAAATATTGAGTGGCTGCTTTTTCATGGGAGTATTATTTTCTACTGTATTGCTCAAGTCAGTAACCTAAAATGATGTTTCATGTAACTAAATATCAAGAGTACACATAGAGAAGTAAATTAACCTTGCAGAGACCAAGAACTTGTGTTAATTTTGAGGCCTTGATTTGACAATCTTGATGGTCTAAACATTAGTACTGAAGTGTAGGATTAGTATAATACCAGTTAATTCTAACTGACCAATATACTAAACACAGCATTTATATAGTCCTGTGAGCAGCCTGTCACAGGCAGGCTTGTGTAAAGTGTGTATACATTGTTTCTGACTTGCCAGTGTCTCATTTGCTTCACCTCTGGGGTATTACCTGTGTTGTAGAGGGAAGAAACTGAGATGCAGCAAGGTAGGTAGCATTTGCTGAACATTATCATCATATCAGTAAGCAGCTCCTTCTAGAAGACAGGGGCATTATGTGTAGAAGTAACTAATCAAAACCGCAAAGAAGTAGTGGCAGAATACAGCTACACCATAGTTCTAAGTGACTGGCTGAGACTTCTCAAGGCTTGGCTCAATTTTGCCTTAAATGCCTTGCAGATAGTCTTAGAGAACACTGCCTAATCTGGAACAGAACAAAGCAGGTGTCTTTGGAGACAGAAAAATACCTTTAAGACAGATGAATTTTCAGGTCCAGGGAAATCAAACACCTCTAGAACTAACTAACAGTTGTTCTCATAAGTTTTTCATTGCTGCCATTTATATATTCAAATTTAATTTTAGCCACTTCAACCTTTGTGAAAATTTGTTTACAGTAATACAATAAGTAAACCACTGTGATAGAACAGGCTTGTGTGTCTGTAAACCCATTCTGCAAGAACTGGGTGGGTACATTGGTTTATCAACTGGTCACCAGCAGTAGGCAAGCTGAAGACAAAAGCTTTGAGAGCTGTTAAGCTAAGTATATGTGCTAAAGCTGTAAAAAGTGATAAGTTTTCATAACAACAGCTTGCAAAGGAGCACATACAAATATATAGGTTAAAACCACAATGGCAGTAAAGCAATGCTTTCTTACTGGAAGAATGCTGAGAAATGTCAGCAATGCCTCTTACTTTTATTTAGACATTTGAAAATACAAATATTAATGAAACAGATTAAAGCTGAGAAAAAGGACAACACATGTCAATCTAAAACATTCAGACAGCTTTATTGCCACTAATCACTTGAAGTACAGTCCTATTTTCAGTTTTTACACAGTAGTACATTAGGCTGAGTTGCTCTTCTGGGGCTGTGCACTTTACAAAGTCATTGCTACAAGCAGTGATCTGTGGTAAACACAATGAAGAGCAGATCACTGTGGATATTCTTACTTTTAAAGTGAAAATGTCCTAGATGAAATCTATCTTTAAATAGCAGTCAAAGGCTGTGGTATACAGTTGTTCACAGATGGAAATCACAGATGAGAGCATATCTGCTTTGGCTTCTTGTGTTAAATGTGAGTACTTTTCCAATAGAAGTGACACGGGGTTGAACTTTATGAACTCCATCTCTTATTCAGTAGGTGATCTTAAAGAGTATTTCCATCAGTTTTGATTTTCTTCTTTTAATACCCAATCCATATGTTTTCGGTTGTTGAAGTAAATGATTACAAGTCTTCGTTTTAGCAGTTCAGTTTGATTAAGAAACTCTTACAATGTGTTTCAGTTTCGTACGGTCTTTTGTGTTGTTTTGGCTGTCAATTAGAACCAGGGAGGTGTGCTGATGATTCTCTACTATTTCAGCAACACTGTCAAAGCGCTGGATAGAGAAAACAAAAATTAGTGCTGGCTTCCTTTAATGCTCTAGTACTAACAGTGATCCCTGCATCACTTTTTGCTTCTCCCAACACTGAAGAGAGTGGAGCTGTAACTGTTACCAAGTGAGATGCTCTGCCTTTTAGTAAGAGCACTGATCCTGCTCTTACTAGTCCTGATTCTAGTAATAAACAGATTAAATTTGGACAATGGAAGATAACTAGCTATCTCTCATCTCATGCTCCTTTCCATTTGTGATTGCTACCTGTACAAACTGAAGCACAGAGGTTGTTACATGGCATATTGAACTGCCATAACTTTTAGTTTACCTTAATATATATTAGGCTGCAAACTGCCAGTTTGGAAGCTGTTTCATCTGCTGTCCAGCTATCTCAGAGGGAAGGTCATCTCCAGGAGTAATATGGTAAGGCCAGCCATCAATGAGAACTTTAGTTATGCAGTTTTAATGTAAATTAATATCGAGAATATGCTACATCTGTTGTTTTTCCTTTTGTTCTTCGGTCAAATACAGATTTTGGACTTCCTTTCCCTTTTTCTCTGGAGGTCATTTTTTGACCACTTGTTGAAGGCCAGATGAGTTATTATTAATTCTGTAACCTCAAAAGCATTGCAGGGGAAACAGATAATTAGGCTAAAGCAAGCCTACTGTCAGTCCCTGAAAAGCCTACTCTGCAGCGATAACAGTTTTTTATTGGTATTTAGGTTCAAAGTTTCTGTTTTGCTGTATATGATAATAGCCAATCAGTGATTTCTGCACTCTAGAACTTGAGTTCTGCAGTGTTTTCTTTATGTGAAAATGGGATTAGAAGTATTCATTTTATAGATATTTTGTTGTTGTTGTCTGGTTGGGTTCTTTTTTGAACATGGCTCTTCCTTCATGGTTTTCCAAGAAACTTTAAACTAGAGTCTTAGGTAGAAGACTGTAAACAGCTGGAGAATTTATCTAGCCACTGCAGCTCTGGTTCTGACAACTTTTCAAAAGTTCTATGAGTATGTTTTAAACGTGATCTTATTACTCACAGTTCTTATTACAGTATGCAGGAGCTGGTATTACACTGGGTTCTCTAGATTGACAGATCAGTCATTATACAGGGTGTACTTTTATCTTGATATAAGAAGAATCCTCTTGGCCATAGTGTAATACAGTTAATCCTTGCTTATTAAAATTATATAGCTGAAAACTGTTTGGAACTGCCCCTCCCCATCCTCTCACCTCTTCACCACTTTTTTCTCTGCCCAGTGCATATTGTCTTGTTGATTCAATAAATCTTATAGGGATGTTGTACACTCTTCTGTTGTAAAACACCACCAGTGTGTATGGTTGCCGTGAATCCTGTCCAGAACTCTTTCTTACTAAAAAAGATCCATCCTAAAGAGAAGAGTAGTAAGTGTATTCAGCTTATTTTTTTCCAACAACTTCACTTCATTTTTAGCTTAACATTTTCATCTCTATCAATATTAAACCCTTTTCTCGCGTCAGAAAAACTGTACAGCAGATGAGAAATAGAATACATTCCTGCTGTCCAGGAGTAGCTTACAAAGGTGTCATTTAAGAGTTAGCTTTTCTGCTACCTGGTTTCTCTCAATCAGAGAAAGAATAAATGAAGATACAGTGGTAGCAGTTGGGGTCTACAGATATTAGGAAATTAAGTTATTCAGTGGCAATAGGTAGGCAAGGAAGCAGTGAGAGGTGGAGATACTGTTTGTCCAGATCTGTAAAATGCAGTCCGATAAAGTCTACACCTACAGCTGACACTGTAGCCCAGTACGCTGCTGCTAACCCCAATGCTCTGCCCCTTTATCCTGCTGTGTGGAGTTAGGCAAAAGTGGAAATGTACCTGATGCTGAGGATGCAACTCTGCATGTTACTATTCCCTTCTGTGACACTAGTTTTTGTACACAGAATAGTTGAGGCAACTCAAATTCTCCAAATACCTAAATGCGCAGTGTTGCTCTTTCAAAATACATAGCAGCATCAGCCTTTCAGAATAGTAGCTGATTTTACATGAGCCACTGGACAGTGGTGGAGACCATGTAAAAGTTGCAGGGCTTTGCGTTTGTTAATGGATGCATGTGAGCTGTCACATCTTCCTCAGCTTTCTAGTCTGTAACAGCTTTCTCTGCAGTGCACCAGTCCAAGTTACACTAATGCAACTTTGGCTTGGGATGGAAACCATAGTTAGTTTGACCACAGTAATTTCATGCTTGACAGTATTTGCATGGCACAGTATTCTGACCTGTTCAGAATACAGCTGGTGTTCTTAGAATATTTCTGGTTGTCTTTTATTTTTTTTTATTTGAAGTTGGGTTGTTGTTGTTTTTTTCCCCCATAAAATACTATAAAGTGACCTACCTTATTCGATTGGTACAGTGCATCTTCTGCAGTTTTCCTATCACATGTAGCAGCATACCATGCTTTACTATGAACACCAGCATCCTAGAAAGAGAGAAACAGTGTTTCACCAGTCAAAAATGATAATAAAGAATATGGCCTGTATGGGAGTTATTTAAAAATAATGATAGCTGTGAAAAACTCAAATGCAGAACACTTTAGAAAACAAAATTCTTAGAAAATTTTTACTGAGAGCTCATGGGTTTTGCTGGACAGAAAACCAATCTAGTGTGTCAAAACTGGTAACACGTGTGATAGAAGACTGATACTTGACAGACGAGAGAAAGATACTTTAAGGAGAGTAGTCAGATTCAACTGGAGGATAGTTTGGTATTTTTAAAGCAGGAAGCTGTGCTAGTATAACTTGAAGAGGGTATCCAGGAAATACTAAGGAATAAATTGACCATTAACAGTAAGTGCTGCTCAGCTGTGCGCTAGTCAATGGAGTGTCTAGGTAGGCGTCTAAACTTCGTGAATGAAGTTTCCTGTATATGTCATTCTCTTTGTGAACATGATCGTGACTGCTTCCATCTGGATAACATGGAGGTTGGGTTAAGTACATCTTTTGCTCTTTTTGTTGTTGTTAAATAAAGACAACTGGATAGAATCCTACAAGACAGGAATAATTAATTTATTTTCTCTATTAATACAGCAGTTCAGCTCTCAGTGCTTTTAACCAAGATGCGAGACACGGTTTCATTTCCACTATTCTGTTGGATTGAGTCTGTATATATCCTTATGTTTGAAACAGTGCTCTTATCTAAAGGCATAAAATCATGTTTACTATGGAGAAGGATTACATCAGTAAGAGAATACAAGAGTGGGTTGTATTTTATATTGTATCTCCTGGGTGCCTCATTTCTGCCTGTTATCTCTGGTGAACACCTCACCAAGGTCATCCTTCTCTCCATGTCATTAAATGCTGGCAGTGTTCTGTACAGTAAATGAACTTAACCTGGTCTTCCAGTGGAAAACATAGGGCAAAGTGCTTTATGGATGGGGAAGTACATAGTAGATACAGGGTAGAAGGATTGGCACCCTAAAGATAGGTGGATTCTGTTTAAAAGATGAAAGATCTCATAACACAGGAAGTGCAACGATAAAAAGCTGTAAGGAGGTGATAGCAGTTGGGAGTGAGTGGCAAGAGATGATCATTTGAGTAAGACAAGTAGTGGTAGAAAAATCGCAGGACTGAGTGGACATTAAGGAACAGGAGTGGAGTTTAGGGGAAGGGAATGGGTGATTTTAGAGAAGTATGAAAAGATACTCAAGGGAAGGACAGGATGAGCGATTGGAAGCAGCATATCCAAATGAATACTTCTGGGTGTTAACCTTCCTGGTCATTTGAACAGTTTTGCTCCAACTCTATAGTAACAAGCTTAATAATAAAATTCATTGGTCCTTTCCAACCCTAACCATTCTATGATTCTATGAGCTTTGTCACCTCTGTACAAAACAGATTAAAAATGAAGTTGTTCATTTTGGTTGGGCTTGTCTAGCTGGCTTATTTCTCACTGCCAAAAAGGGAATGTCTTGGCTTCCCCCTTGCATTCATTTTGTTGCTAATCTGATCCTACCATGAGATAATTCACTTTAGTAATCTCACAGAAAAAAAGAAATAATTATATCCTTTTTTTGTTTATCTTGTTTTGTGTTTGCCTTCTAGGTTGTTTTTTTTTGTCAATTTAATGAGTTGGCTCAGCCCATTGCAGGATCAGAGAAACACCAGAAAAGCCTATGGCAGGGAAGGGAGTTTACAGTGAGAAAAGAGCAAAGCCTCCATTTTGGGGGGCATTACCCTAAATTCTTAAATTGGCTCAAGCCATAACATGTAACTTTACTTCCAAAGTTCTTCCATTTATTTCTCCAGTCACACTATTCATTGGAAAAAGGATGGGAGGAATTGCAGGTATGCAGATATTTGGCCACTATGAGAATGAGTCCAGTAAACCAATCCTTGTTCAACAGAACAAGGAATCAACTACCTCCAAACTTTTATTCTAGCATTATCTGTGGTTTATAATCTGGAAGCAGAGAGCTGCTGCCAAAGTTTGGATGGGAACCAAGCAAATAATGAACCTTATGGGTATGAATCATGTCTGCAATCACCAATATTGTGCAAGAATTTGCAGCAAATGATACCACTGTATGTAATAGGTGGGAAAATGACACTAACAGTGAATGTATTTTCTTTCCTTAAAAAAAAAAAAACAAAACAGAAAACCAACATCATCAACACTTCCCCCCCCCCCCCAACAACCAACCAAAAAAGGCCCCAAACAAAACAAAATGGACGTTTTATTAAGTTCTGGTTTTGCCCATGGCTGTTACATAAAAGCTGCAAATGTAATTGCTACAAGCTGTTTGTTTAGTGTCTGCTGGATTGTTTATTTGAAAGCAATTTTTATAATAAATATCCAGTATGACATACTGTTAAATTTTTTCCAGAACTTCAAGTTCTTTGTGTTCTTTATGTTGTATTATCTTTGTCATGTCAGGCTTTAGAACATTCAGTGTTATTGGCTATGTATAACAGCCTTTGTTTTGCACTCAACAGAACTATTTTTACCTTGTTTGTGACTACTAGGCTTATAAGAATGGCTTCCTGTATTTTGTAGTCTCCATCCAAAATTTAAGGGGAATAGCACTGAAATGAAAATAACTTTGCATTTCAAAGCTTCATGTTGCAATGAAACACAAAAAAGAACTGGCCGTAAAACTGACAGTATTAACCGTAATGAGGTCTGTTTAAAGGAACAGAAAGGAGTAAGACTAAAACATATAAAGGGAGGCATCACAGCGTCCTCTGAGAGGGGCAGCAGTGACTTTCTTTGCTGGCACCCCAAACCACAATAAATAGGGAAATGTTCATAAAAGTGATTCTACCCTCTGCATCCTGCTGTGTTGGGCTAATGAGCAGAGCATCCCTGTTTCCTTCTACAAATTTCTGGAATTTATCATATCACATCAGTGCAGGCTAATGCTAATAGCTGCAGATGGCTTCATTGTGTCTGCATGGTGCATACTATCTTTTTTTCAGGACACAGTGTGTACAGCTATAAGTTAGAAAAAAGGCAATTAAAAAACTCTACAGCCATCTATATCGAAGACTAGATTTCCTTGTTCAAATCATGTTGAGGTATTATGAACTGGGGAGTCGGGAGGACCTGAAACTAAGAAGCTTTTCTAGCTTTTGTTTAAAGTGACTGGTAGAATGCCAAGGTTTGGTATAATGCTATCTACATCTTTTTCTACAGCTTGTTAAAGCTCCTGTGCTTTATGTTCCAAGCATATTTTTTGTATGAAAGTTAACATTCAGATTAATTGTGCAAAAGGGGACATGCATGTTCTCTACAAAGGGAGAATGTTTTTTATTTAGAAAGGGGTAAAGGTGAAAAACTAGACTAAGGGGTAAGATTTCTGTAATGCAAATTTACGAATGTTATACCTGATCTGCAGTACTTGAAATAGATGAAATACTGCTGTGAGAGGGAGTACCCAGAGAACGGTTTGCAGCTTCTGGCACTTCTAGAAAAGAGAAAGAACAACATGTAGAAGTTTTCAGTTATATTATGCTGTAAGAAAATGATTTATTACTGAAAGATCTGGAAATGCTTGACCTTTGGTGTGACTCAGGAAAGTTATCTACTGTAAATGGGATGGGCTGTATATAAGTGCCTCAGACACTTGCCTGCACAAAAGAGGAGTCTTGCTTATAAAAGAAAGAAATGGTTTGGTTAATAACAGTTTGAGTAACAACTTGGTTAATAGCCAGAGCTAGACTTCAAATGCAACACACACACCCCCCTCCACACCACCCCCAAGTGAATCAGTGTAGCAATGGATAAGGAAAATGCAGGAACACGATGCAAAAAGCACTCAGTCCAGTGTGAGTAGCTGTCATAAGTGAGGGTGTCAGGAGAATTTATCTAGCTCAGAGATATTTTTTCACTAATTTAGTCCAATTGAAATGTTTCTATGTGTGTGCAAGAAGTCTAGGTAGCTCAATGGAGAAACAGAAACAGTAGGAAAGATTTATGAAGCTTAAAGTTATAATTGTTACAACAATGCACAGTAGAAAATACCTATTAGCGCAGAAATACAGATGTCAAAATAAGAAATTAGAAGGGAAATGGTTGAGTAGCATTGCATAATAATGATATGGTAGAAATATGGGAAATAAGTATAGATAATTGTTTTCTGGTAAAAAAGAATCTTGGTCAAAGGTAGTACAGCTGCCTGCCATAAGTACTTGTGATCAGAGTTGGATAAAGATCAGTATCATTATGCTAAAGAAGATAACTGTATGAAGCTGAGAGGAGACATTGTAAGGGGCAGTTTCAGCTCTCAATGAATAAATAATCATGAAGAAGGCTACTCAATATGAAGAATTTTGTTGTTTTTTTCCTATCAAATTTTGACTGATGAGCTGCCAAAGCTACAGCTGAGAAGAATGTTGTATAAATAAAGAATTATCAGAAGTCAGATGAAATTAGACTTCACAAAAGGAAATTAAAATAAGGAATAAGAGATTCCTTAGCTTTGTAGAAAGAGAAATTTGGCTGTCTGCAGAAAGACTTTTATAGATTTTAAAGATAATCTAGGTAACTAAACCAATAGTAGTTCTGGTACAGAAATGGAAATTTCCACAACCAAAGTGGAAGCAAAACTCATATAGCTTGGTACAGTTGAACTGCTGGGCCCAGATAATCCTTAGCACAAATTTTAAAACTGGGCACATAAAATTACAGAGCTGGCAACAATTATTTTAAATAGATTTCAAGTCAGGGTGGTACCATGTGATTAAAGCATACCAAACAATTGCTATAATTAGAGTGGAAAGAGTGACCTGAGCAACTACAGGCCTTTTTGTCCTGCTCCACAGAACACAAGGCCCTAGGAGATAACTCGGGAAGAATATGAAGGTTTGGAGGTAAAGGTACAACTAGCAAGAGAAGAATCTAAAATTTAAAAATGTTATAGCTCTTTCATAAAACAACAGAGTTCTACAAAGAGAATACTGTACTTACTCTACTTTAGTAGAGCATTTGATACTGTGCCATATTGGAGATTAGTATTTTTTATGAAGAAGATGAAAGTTATCACTATGCTTGCATGGTGACAAGGAAGAAATGGCAGGTTATGTTGAAGCGACATTACTGATAGGGACCAACTGTATATGTGATGAAGTTGTTATTGCACCTGGCACAGAGTAAAAGTGTGTTAACAAATTACTAATCAGAGCATGATTTAGCACCCAATGACCTTAAGGAATAGTTAATACTGTAGGGTAAGAATTTATGCTACAAGTTAAAGCACATCTGTTGTGTCACAGAAGCAGACAAATGTTAAGAGCGTCAGCCTATTGCATGAATATGAACCGTTATACTTCCACACCATAGGAGATACAATTGCAACATAAATCAAGCAAACATTTCCAGGGAATAGAGATAAGTACTAGTAACAGCATGTAAGTTTAAGCTACACCACATGCAGATTTCTAAATGAAATTCTCATAATCCATCTACAGTGTGAAAGGTAGGTTCAGACTGAAGTATGTGTAGAAAAGGGCTGGTAGGAAGGTCAGGCAAATGTCTGTTTACGAGAGAACAGAAAAATACTAGATCTGATTTAGACTTCTTTGCAAAGAGAGTTCATATACGTATCACCTAATCTGTCTTGAACTGTAAACTGAAACAAAGACCCTCTTTAAAAATATTACTTACAGAAGAGCTTTGGCATTTGCAATTATGAAAATACCTTCTTCCCCACCCCCTCTCCAGAAAGAAAGAATAAATTTCTGGATGCAATAATGATCTGTCTGGCTTCTAGGCAACAGAAGCCTGGAACAGCCCAGAAATGTCATATTTAGTGTTCTTCTGGGGCAAGGAAGATTGATGGAATCTTTATTATTATGGCAACTGACCCAAACTGTCTTTGGTAGCAATTTCCAATGGTCACAAATAGGAATGAAGTATCCAATTTCCATCAATTTATCCAATAACCCAGACATACTCCATTTTACTAGCTGAGCTAAGCCCTGGGATACTTGATCTCCTCTTTGTGTGCCTTAAGAGAGACAAATGTTAATTCCAAGCTAATGAATATGCACGGTATTTTGAAATAGTCTTAATTCAGAGATTAATTTGAAATTACAAGTTTATCACATTTTAACTCAAAATCTAAATTATACTTACTTGGCAGAATTGAGGACTTTGGGAGCAAAGGCCTGAAATAAATTTGAAGAGATTACAGAAAGGTCTGAGGAGCTCTACCCAGTTCTGAAAACATTAAATTTGTGTATTTGAAGCATGCAGCGGTAGGATGTGTTCCATCTCACCCATCTGTTCATTGAGAAATAAGGGCCATATACAGGTATTAAAAAAAAATCATATCCCACTAGTGACAATTAGGAATTTAAACATATGGTTTAAATCTCCATCACCTAATTAAAGGTTATATCCTCCCATGCTTTTTGGTGGTGTTCATAGTATTTGGATACATTTGCCATGTTTTATATTTTTTACTGTGAGGCTTCAAGAAACATGAATTTCAAAAAACAACAGAAAGCTACAGAGAAAATAGTGCTCCCCTTTGAACTGCTCACAGCTGTGTTCACACTGAGCAGTAGGAGCTGGTGCATTGAAATATTCAAAAGATAATGAAAAGGGATTTTACTTTTGGACACCACTTGGAAAAGGTGGAAGCAGAAGCTCTTGGCTGGAACCTCGTCGTTGTTCTGCTGCTGTGGGTCTTTCTGTAGTTTGGGAAACAAATTGTAGAGTCAAGATTTCCTCAGAAATATATTGTCCCAGATAAGACTGTCCGAGTAGCTGAAAGAGGTTTTCTTTTATTACTGTAACTTTTGGGGTTTTCCCTTACATGGCAGCTTGCCACCCTGCTGCTTGCTTTATTAACTAGTGGTATACCACCAAATTTCTAGGCAAATAGCTGCGCTGTGAATGCCTGCAGGAGGTCAGTGGGAGATGTGCCTTCCGCGAGGCGAGCTGCATGACATAGTGGAGGATGCTGGGGCAGGCTGTCTGCAAGAGCTCAGCCAGAGGAGGTGCAGCTGGCTGCCTGCATCTTACCCTTGTGTTAGACGGCAGCTCCTGCTGAGCTTGTGCCTGGAGGAACTGCCGACTTGCACAGAGGCGAGATGCATTTTCTGCCTGTGCAAGGGACTGGCTTTTGCCAGGAGTTGGCTCTGTGTGAGCTGGTTCTGGCTGAATTTAGAATGATGTGCTCAAACCTCGCCTACCTTTCCCCTACTTTAAGGACTGTATGGCATATTGCTGGTCCATTATGTCCTACATTACCCTGCCAGTAACCTCAACTGTTTTACTGTGACTGCTTTTAGAGGACAGTGATATTCAGTGCAACTAAGGCTGGCCAGATCCAGTTTGAGACTGCTAAAACCAAACCTCACTCAAAAACCTTGACTAAATTTAATGTGGTGGTGTTTCATGTTTTTAATAAAAAGAAAACAAAATTCTGATAAACAGCTTTTTTTTTTGCAGTAGTGGAGATAATTTACCTTCATTTGCAGTTAAGGTGTCTCTGGGAGGTAGACATGGTTTCTGCAATAAACCAGAAGAAAACCAAATATTAAATGGCACGTCGCTTGTACAGCAAATATTTATTTTTTTTATACTTGATGTGAACTAGTTTACATTTAGAATTGACAGCATCCTGGAGGGATTAGGAGGCAGGGACATGGCCATTTTGTGAAGAGCCTCTAATTCTATGACCTTGAAGTTTGGGATTTTATAAAGTGGATTTGGAAAGAATCCCAGTTTGTATATATAAATAGATGGGCAGAATTAAAATCTAGAGATGCATGCCTTTTCTTTTCAATGTAAGCTTATGGTGTAACAAATGGCTCATTCTTCTCTCAAAATATCAAAAATGAAGTCTATCCTAAATACTTGAGATTCAAAATTATAGTATTTTAATCTTTGTCAAGCTATTTTGACAAATGTCTGAACAAACTTCTTTTTACTGAGAATTAAACTTTTTTTTTAAGTTTTCAGTAAAAACTTGCCCAATTTTCCAATTTCTTTTTTCTCCCCCCCCATCTTGAAACACCGATAGTAAGATGTCAGGTTCAAAGCATTTTCCAAATTAATTTGACAATTTCAACCAGTTCTCTCACTTTCTCCCACAAGAAGTTTTGGAGTATTTTTCTAATGATGAAATACTTACTGAAAATACTCTGACAAATTCTGGTAAAATCCTGCATCTTCCTTGAGCTATCATTCTTACAGTAAATCCATGTTCCCCATATGCAGCCCTGTATATTTCAGGGAATACTTCCGAATGGTCTGTGTTCCCAGTTGTTTCTCATTCTATTCATCTCTTGCACTGTTTTTATTGTTACATCCTAGAGTACTGAATCCAAACATCCCTTTAATCAAAATATTTTTCTACTTGAGCTTTCTCACTGCTGCAGTGTTCATATAACAGTACCCAAATATTTCCTTTCCCTATAGCTCTGTTTCCCCTATTGTCTTTATGCATTTATGTCATACCCAAACTCATGATAAAATTAAGTTTTATAGTAAATTAAAAATCACCTGTAAAATTATTGTTTGATTACACAACTACAAGTCAACTTACTGGTGAATTTATTACATTAGAAGTTTTCTTTCTGCAGATTGAAGGAAAAAGAGTATGGTTACTTAGCAGATACATCAATTCATTTAGCGAGTAAACATCAGGTTCATTGATTCCCAAGATATTTCTGGCCAAGATGGGATGCATCTCCATAATGCATAGCTGTAGCACATGGGGAATGTGGGAGAAAAATAAAAAAATAATAAGGGTGCCAGCTGTAATGTAGGTACTTATGATACCAGTACTTAAGATGACAACTTGGCTGGGGCAGAAGAGTTTTAATGAAAAACACACCTTCCCACATTTATAGGCATGCATGTGCTATTGCTGCACTGTGGGACTAAATTAAGCAAGCCAGCCAGCATCTGCCATCAGTGGCAGAGAGTGGAGGACAGTGCAACTGGCATAGAAATGCTGTTCTTCCAGAAATAACAAAATTAATAGCTTGCCTTTACCTACTCAGGCTATCTTTAATGAAAGGCAATGAAAATTACTCCTAAATTCTGACTGACATAGGCAAGGGGAGAATTTAGCTCCTAATACACCTACTAACCCACCCCCGTCAAAGAAGTATTTATTATTTTTTACTCACAGGCCCCTTGGCAACGGAGATGGAGCTGGTCCAGTGGGAAATCTGGATTCCCGTGTGTTATTGAAGCTATGATCTAGAGATGCAAATGACATATTTAGTATGCAGTATTAGCTGCAACTGGATAGTGGATTTTCCTCACTGCCATTTCAGTGTTCATGTAATAAAAGTAAAAAATATCCATTAGTTTAATTTTTGTCTTAACATGTTTTCACACTCATTATACTTGAAAACAGTTCAGCAATATTTCTTGCTTATTGCTGACATTACAGATAAAATTTACACTGACACACTCCGCTACATGCTATAATTAAGGTCACCAGTGACATATTGAAAACAAATCCCACTCATATTGCCATGTTTTCAGTGCAGAATACTTACTTTCATGATTATTGTTTGCTTCATGTTCCTGTAATGGAAAAATGTGTTAGATTTGGTAAGAAACTATTAAAAAGGGAATTATTAAATGGGAAGTGCATAAATAAATAATCTGGTCCTGGTAATCTGCAGTGATAGTTAAAGAAATATTTGCATAGAATATATAGAATACCCCAAATACTTTTCACTGACTTTTATGATGACATTTGAAAAATTTTAGCAAAGGTCAATCTAATTTTGAACATTCTAATAACCTTGAGATTGCCTGTAGTATTGAGAAAACTTTACCCTGAAATTCACAGCAAGACCTTTTGGTTCATGTTTCATGACTGGGCTGGAAAGCAGAAATTTTGCAGCAGATTTGAATATACTAAGAACGTATATGACAGTGAATAAATGATACAGAGGAAACTTTTCGCCATGCTAGAACCAAAGTGATCCAGCTCATTCCCTGCCTTCTTTTGAGATGCTTTCTTTTGACTCCCACTTCTTGTATTTTAGGGAATCGGACTCCCATTTGATAAGTACCTTTCAAAGATGCACCAGTTATTAATTTGTCCCTCTTCATCCACCAGGCTAATGGCTTTTCACTAACACTGGTCACAAATGCATCCATTCTCTGGTTGGAGAGGTATAATCCATCATCCAATAGTTGAAAGAGTGAGATGGAGAAATTTTTCTCCCAGTCAGCCCTGGCCTTTGAGATGAACAAGGGTTACAGTTCTGTTAACATGATCATTGCTGGTTACTGTTGAGAATGGATTGAATGGGAACAGTTAACAGATGTTTTGGTTATTGTTCTGTTTTGTCAGTATGCATAGTCAGGGATGGAAAGGCATTGCATTGAAAAATGTTACATTCATTTGCATGTTTTTGTTTAAAACTGTAAGGGCTGGCCATTTACACAACAAGCAAAGACCCAAATTTTGTACTACACTGGGTAATTCCTTCCAAGGCTGACTCTTGTGCCAAACTGGGTAACTGCAAGTACCCAGGAGCTGAATACACCCACTGTATGGATGAGTGTTTGTTTGGGAGATCCATGCTTGGTGCTGTAACTAACTCAGTCTGTGGCCCACGCAAAACAATAGTGTCTCTTGATTGTCTGCAAAGCTAAGATGATACCATATCCATGACAGCCATCCACCAGGTAAGCTCTGAGAATGTTAATGGAGAGGTTCCAGCTGCAATATGGCACTTGAGCCTGTTCTGAAGCAGTATTCTTTTTTTAGTTCTGATCACAGAGTAGAACTTCTGTCCAACATTCTTCCTTCAGAAGGATCTCCTCCCCCTCCCTATCCTCGTTGTGATGTGATGAGGTGAAAGGGAAACTAAAATGCTGCTCTAGTTGTATGCAGACCCCCATCCCCCCATATACTTGGTATAATTGGAAATTTAAGGACTGAAAGCAGACTATAAGATGTTCTTACACCACCTGCATTATGTTACCATAATGTCTAATGCTATGATATGACCCCGATTTCCTGATTTTAAGTGTCTAATTTCTCTATGTAGTTAGTAGTAGACTGTTTATTTCTTAAGGACAATTCATAGCATTGGGCTGGGATAGAGTTTAAGGCACACAGCTTTTGGCACAGATACTGATGAAGCTACTGTCACCCTATTTCTTGGTAGGTAGCTCCTCATGCACACCTGCCCTTGTGGTGGCACTACTATTAGCAGAGCTCTGGTGCAGAACAATTTATGGAATTAATCTGGCTGATAAAAGAACCTTCTATGCATTTGCTTTTGCCCTTTTGCTGTGGATTAGCAAGTTTCCAAGTAGTTTGCTTCAGAAAACCTTTTTGCCAGCACAGTGGACAGACTGGGGACAAAAGTAGAGGAAGAAGAATGACTCAAACACAGCCTTAGGAGCCCAGATCTTGTAATTACTCCGTGGACTGCATTTTCTACTGATACTGGTTACTCAGACTACACATTCTAAAAGGATTTCATTTTCAGAAAGTATTAATCATTCATCATTCGAGAGGAATGAAGCTCAAGGAAGATGCTTCAGAGTGGACAAAATCACCCATTGCTACTGAAAGTATGGTTCCTGGAGTTCAACTGGTGGTTTTTAGTACAAGAAATTATTTTTGTGGACTGAAACATACATCCCTTAAAATATTTGAATTTTTTCTTGGATCAGTACAGATATTCAGTGCTTTTTAGTCCAATAGATCAATACCCACAGTTACAATATTGGATCAATCTGATATTCAGTCATCTGTTTCTGTTACTTAATCCAGATAATAAAAAGCATCCATCTGTTTATATACATAAAACACAGAACAGCCTAAATTTAATACATTCTTTTAAAGTAGCACATTAATTACTCACTGGTTTTGGATGAAGACGATTTCTGGGAAGAGGCAAAATATTTCTGGAAAATATAGTAAAAAAAAAAAACAGTAAGTTGAGTAGGATTTACTTATTTAATTGCTTGGCTTAGATATGTGTTTCAAGATCTTTAGAGGAATTCTGCAGTGAATGGATTTACCTGCAGCTATCCACCACTGTAGTGGCTGTGGTGATGTTGTGTCATTAGTGTGGAACTACTCTAGAAGAGCTTTGGTTCTGGACCTCAGGTCCCCTGCAGCTGTGCACAGGACCTCAAACACTGTAACACACACAGTGTTCTGGATGCCACCTGCTCTTCCTGGGGTATATGGCCTGTTTTGTAAAATGATGTTCTAGAGATGAAGCAGTGGTTATGAAGCAGCTCCCTGTGCTTCTGAGGACTTCTGGAATGAAACAGGCTGCATACTCAAGTTTCCTTTACCTCTTTTCCTCCAGAGGCTTGGAATATAAATTATTGATTTACTTTACCCAGTTTCTTTACAAGCAAACCTCTGCCCCATCCTCTGCAACACATTTCATTTGCAAGAGTGCAAAGATGGATAATAGGACTTTAAAGAGGTTTGCAGGGATATTTTATGCCTGCACTGGCTCCCTAAAGGGATATGCAAGAAGATGGAACCCATTTGGCAATCTGGCTTGAATACAGAATTTTACAAGGAAATGAGAACTTTCAATTCTTACCTTGTTCCTACATCCCTAGATATTTGTATGTCCTGACAATTACTTATTGTCTGAGGACTACACAATAGAGAGGAAAAAATTTTGTTTCCTATTGATAGAAGCTGCTGTTGATTCACCTGGAAGTATCCAGCTTAGGTGACTCTCTGTGCATGTGGGAGTGCTCCGTATTCTGAGCAGGCACTGATGGAAGTGGCTTAGCAAACCTAGTAAAATATGAATTAAGAAAGAAAATTGTATATAACAGCAGTGAAAATAAAAGTAACCTCTCTTTCTCCTCCCCTTCCCTCTCAAAATTCTGTAAAGTACCTTTAAGAACTATTTCTCTTTAATATGTGTTACTTTTGGGTTATTGAAATTAACACAGAAATAGATTATAATCTTTGTGTAGATAATCTAAAGAGAGAATTACTGTATCTTCTAGAGAGAATTATCAAACTTACAGTATCTAGATGAGAAAATCTATTTTCTGACAAGTTTTAAATAATGCACAAACATTCACAGCAGTTAGGTTACCTGGCTACCGGTGGTGGTACTGGTTTTTCCTGTAAGAGGAAATGCACTGAATTATTTGTTGCTTTCTGATTTCATAAAACACATTATTCTATTTATGTTACTTGTATCTTATTTTCACATTGTGGTATAGATCTCTACTAGAACTCTGGTAATCTGCACTAGGATGGGAGATGCAAGAAGTCACCACCAGTAAATCTGTGAAGCCCTGATCCTGTGTTGGCCATATGTTATGTCAGTACTAGCAAGCAGGAAGAAAATGACTGTGTCAGAACTGTCGTTGCTACTTTGCTCCAGTTCTGCTTCTGGAAAGCATTGCCTTAGGCTGCTGCTTCCCAGACTGGATCACTGTCACACAGGACTGGGACACTTCAGCCCCTTCCCATTTACTCTGTTCTGCAGACCTTTTGAACTGGTTTGCCAGCTTTTCTGTGAATTATGTGTCAGAAAGTTTTAAGTGGAGACAGAGATTAATTCCCATTTTTTCCCCTTTGAAAGACTGACTTTTTATATTTTTCTTTTTTTACAGTCGTATTTGTGCCCTGCCTGAGGGCAATGTGAGTCATAAACTATCAAAAGGCCTTACCTCTTCTTCAGGGACCTCATAGACTTCTATAGGACAGAGAGAAAAAAAACAAACATGTTCTTTGGTTAACAAAAGCACACTGCTTGTTACCAAAAAAAAGAATAAAAAAATAATCAGAATTTGTATCACTTCTTCTGCCTCTGGAAAAATATCTTGGAGAATCCGCTCAGAGCATGATTCCGTCTCCAATACTCTGGGGTAGTCTCACCCCTGGCCTTATAGTGGAGATTTCAGCAAAAGTCCCAGGAAGCCTGATAAAGTTACCTGTGTATGAATCTTCACCACACCCCACAACTTTTTTTTTTCTCCCTCTCCCCCAGCAAGGTGAATGCTTTTGTTCTGCAAACCTGGGACAGTTTGGAAAAGATGTGTTATTGCACACGTGGTAGCATTCAGCCTTTTCGTGACTCTCTGGGAGGAAGAGCACTGGTGAATCTTAAATACAAGCTGGCTCATTTGCATGGCCAGCAACCATCCCTGCGCTGTCCCACGTGTGTATTTTAATTCACAGATATCGAAAACCAAAACCACCAGCATCCTTATCTATGTCCATTGTTTTCAACGAAAATTGAACCGTATTTCAACACTTATGTCCCGCTTCACCGCTTTTATTGGGCTGAAAAGTATCCGAGTTCCCACCAGGGGGAGATGTTTCATTTTGTACTAACATCGGTGAGGAGCCGGTTGTTGCTCGACACTGGTTTACAGAAGGGCTAAGACGGAAAAAGGTATTTTAAAATGTCTGAAAAGTAACACAAATCTTACGTCATCCAGAAAAAAAAGAAACACTTCTGTAGTTTACGACTTGAAAGCTAAGCACACTGCTAATGAATATACAGAGACTTTTAAAGAACTGTGTGATCAGGCTGTAAAGGTTACTTTCCAAGCAACTAATGAGTGACGAGGATATGCAAAACAACCTGGAGTTAGCACAGCTAAGGGAGATGAACAAAGTATATCTGCGCTTACAAAAGGAAATACGATTCCCCTTATTCTGCTTTTGTTTCATTTTCCAAATAAATTGGTCTTTATAGAACATAAATGGGAACATCTATCACAGGACATGGAAAACATCAGCCTAGACAGTATTTCTTCAAAGTTGAATCCTGATATGGTTTTAAGGTATTGAGTCTTGATTCCTACTGTGAAATGGGATTACTAACATACAAAGTCCTGTAACTGTCTTTGCTGTATTGATCCATTTGCATTCCATTTGATAGAGCAAAAGACTAAAAATAAATTACTTAGGGGCAAATGACTTTTTCTAGCTTTATTCATTCTTAAAACAGATTTACCATTCAAGCTAGGCAAAACAACTACTACAACACAGAAAAACCTAAAGGGGAACATATTTTTGTTTTACTGAAGATGTCATGGTTTGTGTTGTGAATACATCAAGTATAATTTAGTAATCCTCAGTCTCCAATTGTTTTAACAGTGATACAAACTCCACATACCTTGCATATCAGAAGCAAGAGGCGGCTTTGGAGAAGTAGGGGGGGCTGACTTTGTTGTCTTCATAAATGCCTTCACAGGAGCTAAAAGATTTTATTCATATACATATATACTTATGCATGTGTGTATAAATATGTATATATAAAAATACACATATGTACTAAGAACTAACAAGGCAACATTTATAAAATAAGAGTAAATATTAAGTAGGTCTAAGTGACAGCCTTTTCGTGGGACCCTGAAAAAATCAACTGGGGCAAAAAGCAACTCTCATTTTAAAAGGGAAACATTATTTAGTGTTCATGCCTTGCTGAACAGATTTGATATTGTCAGTAATGTCAGAGAGCAGGACTACACACTCGCTGTTTACTTTTCACCTTTGGTCTGTAGTAGTTTCACTCTCCAGCTGAATATACTTCAAATAGTGAGGTAAAAAAGTAATGAATCAAAGTCTGTCTTTATCTACTGAAAATCTGAAAACGCTTGTTCTTCTCTTGAGGCAAACAGAGAATTTTAATGCTGTGGCTCCCTTGGATGAGGAGGGAGATAACATAACATGAAAATCTTCCTTGTTGTACAAGGGCTGGACTATGAAACAGCTGAGCAAGAGAGGCAGGAATTAAACAGGGCTTCCAATAAAGTTAAAAATACATTTTGTTGGCTTTGTCATGGACCAAAGGAGCCAAATGCCTTTTTTGCAGGCTGCATTCTCTTTAATAGCTGCACCTCCACTCTTTGAACTGTAGAAATAGACATTAATTTGACCCTGATCAATATTTTCCACTGTTGCCCCTAAAAAGGCGGTAACCATTAGCTTAAATGACTACAACTCACATTTTGTAGGTAGTGACATGCTGCTTTCTGTGGGTTCAATATAGTTATCGTCATCATTGTCCACTGGCACAATGTAATTATCCTATGAGAAATGCATGACAAAAATCTACCAGTTAAACCTCCATTGTATCAACAAACTGTTGGGATTGAAGCCCTGGCAGCATTTTACAATAGTTGCCATTTCACAGTGACTGCCATTTCAGGCATTTATCATCCTGCGTGGATGGGATTCCCCAAGACTGAAACCCCTTTACCAAAGTACTTCAATTCTAGACTAGTGGGTAAAAACCCTCTCTTCCCTTTGGTCCTTGGGTAACCTTTGAGGTTGCTCTCTCCCCATTGCCTGCATCTTGTTATGTCTAAAGAGCCTTCTTCATATTTGATATCCCCTAGATATGAATCTAGTATGAATTATCATTTGATATTCATGCTAGATATCCCCTAGGAATCAGCATGGTACTTGCAGGTCACTGTTTGTGATGTACAAAATTATTTGCACCCCAGAAGCTAAGAAAGAGACCAGGCCACAACATTGCTGTGTAGTCTATCTTATGACTGGTGACATTTAAACTGTCAGAACAAGTTTATAGATAAACATTACCTCATCATCACTACACTCCTTAGGCTTTGGTGGTACTTTTGGTTTTGCAGCAGGAGACGGCACTGGCAGGGATGGCACAGATGGTTTCTTTGGTCTAGATGTGGCTGGACTGGGTGTACTTGGGAGAGCTTTGCTGATGGGAGGGAGCTGTTGGTGACTGGTGCGATTGTCTTTTAATACGGAAGAAAACAACAATTTCAGTTAAAATTATGGATTAGCCTCTGGACTATCTGCTACTACCTGCAAACAAGTCTTCACTGCTGCTACAGATCAGGTCAAAAGGCAGACATGAGCATGTGCTGGTCCTAATGTTGAGACTTGTGTGAAAAACAACTGTTACACAGCACAACGGGGGGGGACTGAAACACAAATTATGCCAGATCCTCTGGGGTGTCATTTTAAAAATTACTCCCCTTCTCAAAGAACACATAGGTGAAGTGCTGATAAACTTTTACGTGTACATATGTGTCATTTTAGCACTTCGATGTCCCTGCCCATGGCAAGATGATCTTAAGGTCCTTTCCAACCCTAACTATTCTATGATTATATAACCAGTAACAGTCTTGTGTCACATCAAAATGGAAGCAGGCATCAAGCCTATGTTTCTTTTCCCCATGGCTCAAATCTTCATCTAACTGAAGCTAACTTTTGTTCACTTCAGTGCTGTCTGCCCATGGCTGAAAAGAATAAAAACAGGAAAACCCCACATCTTTATGCTGAACTGATGTAAATAAAATACTGATCCTGTCCTGTTTTTCTGGATATTTATCCTCCTCAGTACCAATCTCAGAGGACAACATGAAGTGAATATTTAGGTTCCTTTGTCCTCTCTTTTACTGCTTTTGGAATAATGATCTGAGATACAGAAAACATTAAGAAGGGACCTGTCCAGTCTTACGTGCTTGATCTTCAATATGAATTACTACATTAAAATATGCAGATGAATCTGGAGCCAGGGTAGTGATACCTCCTACACTGCTGCTGGAATTCTGTAGGTAGTAGATGTCTAGGACACATATCAAAATTCTAAACATTGCTACTAGCAATACCAACTCTTGTTTCATTCTGTAATAACAAATCATACCCCTGAAAACTGAAGGCCTGTCAGAATTAAAAGCAAACTCTTGAGAAAAGGACATTTAGTCTATTTGAGGCCAATTTTCTTCTGGTACTGATAAATAAGCAATTATGAAGCTGACATAGCTGAATATTTTATAACTACCTGCATATTCACCCCTAGAAATAGGGAATGCAGACGGAATCTTCTTTTTCTCCTGCTCACTTGGAGGCGGCTCATAGCTGTCATCAGGATTCTCTTCACTGGGGACTACATACATCTCAGAGTCAGAGTGGTCATCTGGATTTTCATAATCACTGTCCTAGAAAGACAGAACTTCCCATTTCTCTTCTCATCACATACTTACAGCTTCATAGCAGTGTATGACAGAGAGTCTTGCAGGATTAACTAAAAGGACATGTTACACTCCTTTTTAGTGCTCCCTCTCTAAATAGTCAATTCCACCCGGCTTCCCTTCGGCTCATCCCAGAACGTTCCTCCTCCTGTGTCCTTGCTATCTCCAAGGACTCTTTTTACACCAAGAGCTCAGCCTTCAAATTACAGACCAACAGCTCTTCTCCCTTCACAGAACAGTTTCTTCCTAGTTCCAGATGTGACTCTTGATGTGTCCTGTTACTTCTTCTCCCTTTCCTAATTAATAGGATACTCAGCATCTAACTTCCAAAGGAAACTAGCCACTTCAGGCTGATGGTTGTATCATTATGTTATGTGGCTTATGACCATGACTTGTTTCCTTCTAATGTTCTCTAAAATCTTACCAGAAGTTCTTCATTTTTACGAAAAAGTGGCTTTTCCCTCCTCAGCCCTCCCACCCTCTCTCCCCAAAGTAGAACATCTTATTAGTTTCTGAAATCATTATTTAGTTTGAGAAGTCCCTCAAACTGATGCCATGGGCTTACTTATGCCAAAAGCTTAGCATCCTTAGCTACCACTAACAGTGTTTCACAGTATACTTCCAAGTTGCATGTAAAAAAAAAAATGGAGGTAGCTAAAAATCAGTGGCTACCTCTGAATAATGCTGATTTAAGAAATAACATTTCAGTAGTATTAAGGTCAACCACAAGTAAATGATTTAAAAATAGACTTTTATTATTATTGCTTGGCCTAACTTGTTGCTACAGTAACCTCCTACTACCCCAAAATATGTACTTACAAAATCATCTGACCATTGTTCATCTTCATTGTCTGCATGTTCTAAACCAAACATCAGAGTTATTTAAGGAGACAGAATAGTGAACATAAAAGTTTATCGTTCTTTCAATCTATACTTATCATATTCAGTTAAAAAAGAATAGTCAAAATCTCTTAAACAGTTCGGGGCAATACACCTGGTTTGGATTGAACAGTAAATTAAATGCCTGTTTGCTTGTTTTTGTAAATTGTTTCAGAGCTGTTGGAAAAGCATTAGAAAATGGCAAACTGCACATGGTCTGAACATGGTCTGAATAGCAGAGCATGTGCTTTATATAGAGCATCCCGCTAATGAATCTCATTTTCAAGTAGGAATAACATTTGCTACATAATGGAACTATTGGTGACCTCTGGGCCTTGCACTTTCTTGTTTCTGAGTTAAAGCTCCAAGACAGCACACTAATTACAAGTATTTACGTTAAACATGGAACTAACTTCCAAACTCTGTTCTCTGCTTCAGTTTTTGTATCACTGTTTCCTTGACAAGACAGTAAAAATGGGCATTAACTAGCTTGTCAGAAATGCTGTATGATAAGCAAATATATAAGCAAACTCCACCTCTAAGATGATGATAATAATAATATTAATATTAATGCCGTTTAAGTTTATGTTAATGCAGCCTTACCTGCAGCATAATCCCTTCGTGGAAGACTTGGTGGCGGTTTTTTTTTTAGCCTGTAAGCAATAATTACATTTATGATATAAGTAACATTCAGTAGAAGGCAGCATTAGTCAGACACATAAAAAAAGCTGATAACAAAAGGTACCTGCAGCTGAAGAAATATAGATTACCATCACAGATGCTTAGCAAATAGCTGAAGGAGAAAAGCTAGAAACGTAAGAAATTAGAATCTAACCTGAGATTTTAATTTCTGTTTTCCTTAGAACATATTTTGAAGGAACAGCTTCCTTGACCACCCACCTTCCTCTTAATTTTCAGTGCAGAAACAGATAAGATAGAGAGCAAAGATAAATGCACGCCTATCTGAACATGAAAATCTGTCCAGGCTCACAGAGGCTTTGCTAAGATTATGGCATAAGAAAGTGATGCAGCACTCTCCCATTGTATTTTTATAACTGTCATTTTGCATGCACTTTCTCAGGGCCAGATTCCGTTTCCACTTACTATTATTTTATGGCATTATGCCCCTTCTTTGGTAAATGCTGTTGTAATGACATTTGTTGTACCAAGTGAATTGAAAGGTAGTTTTTTTAAATACTGAAAGGATCTTTGTGGCTTTGATAAATATCTATACATATATATATATTTAGCAAACAGGAGACACTGAATTACAGTCAGTTGGTATTTATTTATGTAAAAAAAAAAAAAACTGTGTTTGAACTCAAAATTTAAGGTGCATGTGTCCATCAGAGACCTTTGCTTTTTGTAGCCATATAAAACATTAGCACAATTTTCATTAAAATTATTCTTCAAAGTGACTCTTGAACATTAAAAATTTCTTTACTGTGAGAGTGACAGAGCACTGGAACAGGTTGCCCAGGGGGGTTGTGGAGTCTCCTACATTGGAGATATTCAAAGCCCGCCTGGACAAGTGCCTGTGTGATGTACTCTAGGTCACCCTGCTCTTGCAGGAGGGTTGGACTAGATGATCTTTTGAGGTCCCTTCCAACCCTTAGGATTCTGTGATTGTCTGACACCTTCTCTGCATCACTGATGGGACCTCACCATGGACCTGAACCTTTATCCACTGAATTGATGACTTCATTCATTCTTCTATCAGGTTCTAACAAAGTAATTTGCAAAAATAAGCAAATTATTTACAAAAAAAATTGTCCAGAAAAAATGAAAATATTTTCTTGTGATCTCTAAGAGAGAGACACTCAGTATTTAGGTCCCGAGATGTTGCTTAAATATCATTGTTCAGGTACCAACGTAACTCAGGGTGGTGGCATGCTGGCACTAACATATCAATTGACAAACTTTTTCTGTCTGTTTTGAGAAATACTTCGGCTACTTTTGAGTTGAATTAATACAATTCTGTTGCTCAGACAGTCACACACAAATTGCATGTTCATGAATCAACGAATAAATGGTGCAGGCATTTTTAAAGCTCAAGACTCCCTTCCCCCACCAATCTAGGCACATAATTTTTGAAGTGCTTACCTGCTTTGTTCGTTATTAACAACACTAACAAATAGATAGCTGCCTCCTCCAAGTCTTAAACTTCCTGCAGCACAACATAACTTAGTGTGCAAACAGTAAATTAAAAGGCATTCTCAACAGCCCTGCAGTTATCTTATGTCCAGGTTAGCACAGGCATGTTAGAAAGAGAAATTCAGGGCCACTGCCAGGGCAGATCTCAGGTCTTGGGGAGGCTAGACCAAAATCTGTTCATGCACTTTGCAGCATGGCTATCATGAGTTGTTCAGAGACAGTGAATAGTGAAACTGAGGAAATAGTAAGTGGCTATCTGGGTCACAGGGTAAAGTATGTGGCTTTAGCCACACTTACATTTGCAAGCTGCTAAGCAGAAGACTTCAACACTTTGTCCCAGGCCCTGTAAATCCTGGCAATGGCCCCGACAGAAAATGTAAATATGTTATAATGAAAGCATATGAAGCACAGAACAGAGGTCTGTGTCTAAGGAGCCTATCATGCCATTGTGCAGCTCTGAAATAGCATACCGATCCCAAGTATCTTTCCCAGTTTTGCAAATTAAGGCCACTTGTTCATTTTGGAACCTGAATATCAATAGAAAAGAAATAATATTTCTGTCACAGACCTGAAACAATTCACAGCCACATCTGTATTTGCTAGAATCTCTTCAAATATGTTACTGATGCTAAAATTCAAATCTCCTTTAAAAAAACATATTTCTTACTGTACTGGTGTGACTTACTTGGTGCCACAACTGAAATAGGAGCTATTCTGAAGTGAACTAGAGCTTCACTCTGCAAGAGCCAGAACTTTACCCAATGTGCAAATCACAGTGCTTGCTCAAAAGACATAATCCCTATGCCAAGGCGTGGTTACCTAGCTATTTCAGATTTTGACATCCACATAGATGCTTAGAGAGTGACAGTGGACTCCATCCTGTTCCCCTGAAGTTAGTAAGAAAGGACTGAGAGAATCAAATGCCATCCAAATGAGCAAGTAATTTGCAAGTAAAATATTCTAGTGCTACTCCGATCTAGACTCAGGTTACAGGTGGCAGGAACTCTTTCTATGATAGAACACAATCAAATATTTAAAGTTTCCAGCTATTTTAAAGGGATTAGTATTTTTCTAAATTTTAATGCAAAATAAGTAATTTTCTGGAGATTTTGAAATATCCCTGAAAAATTTCAGCTCTAAAGGACTCCATAAAATCCAAGCACACTTTTGAGAGTACGTTTACAGGTTTTAAAAGTGACATAACACATCCTACTATGTACAGAGCAGAATGCACTGTAAAGAAATTCATAATAAATTTTAGGAAAGCCAGCTATTTCAATTTAAAATACAATGTATTCCAAGATTCCTCTTCTACAGGATGCTGAGGCTGATCCAACAGAACATTTAGGCTACTAAAATACTAATTTACCTACTAACATATCTTTACTGAGTTGAGTATTTATAGTTTCTATTAGTCCTAAGGTCACTAGATCATTACACTTGTGATTAAAAGATAAATTGAACTTTGCAATAAACTTTTTCAGGGGTCCAAACAGGTGCAATCCAGATGACAGATAAAACTCTTCCTGAGCTGTATTCTCATGACCTAGCGGAATAGTTCGTTACAGCTTTGGCAGTATCTGGCAGGTATTCAAAATAAAATTAATCTGAAGCTTTTAAAAAACCCTGTCATTACTACTCTTTCACAGATTTTCTTTGCAATGTGCTGTGGCAGTGAAATGGCATATAGCTGTCATTTATTTATCGTCACTTTGATAAAATATTGCTACATTAATAAAAATCCTGGCGCTCAAAGTATTTATTCAGCTACATACTGAAATTTGTGTTTCTTAAGCGCACAGTTAAAATTAGGTATACTTTTCCCTGGCTTCTTTTTCTGAATGTGATACATCTTGATTTTAGTACTTTTCTCTCATTGTTTGGTCCATAAAACACCACTTTTCCCTTTGCCAAGGGTTTGATCATGGATGTCTTCAAGTTGAAGCTATGCAGATTGAAGGGACATTTAGTGACATAACTCCATTTTTCTGTCTGAAGTTATAAATGGTTTAGAAAAATGGACCAGACAACTCTGAAGTAAAAACTTACCCAACTCAAAAGCTGAATATAAAGCAGATGAGATGGAGATGGACTTACTAGCATTTTTCAGGTCAGGTGACAAATGTGATTCAAGAAATGGACATATTTGGATTGTGTTCAGTTAGATAAATACTTGCAAGTGTATGATTTAACTTCTAGTTTCTTACTCAACACAGCAGGGCAACATTTAGGGTGATATCCTGACTTTGCTAAAAGTCCTACTGCATATACAGCATTGACTTCAATACAGCTAGGATTCCACTGAATCAAGCCTAGAGGTTTAAAGGTTATGAATGCTATGTCTGTATTTCCAGTGTGTTTCAAGCATATGCAACTGTCCTGCAGTGTGAAACTTCCGATTTCCCTCTTACCTCCCTGTTCTGTATTATCAATACAGAAAAAAAATGCCCCCAGCTCTCGCTGTTTATACAACTTTGGCTATACCTATTGCCTCTACACCTGTGCAATGTCCTCTTTGACATCATGATGTGCACAGCAGCTGGGATTACAGTACTATAAACAGTTTTGCATGTGATTAAGAGCAAGCAGATGAATGCTTTCCAGCACTGGGCAGTATTTTTAGTGTCAGAAAATTTTGAGTCAGGATGGGGCATAAACAACAGGGACTTTTAAAGCAATGAAGGCACAATCTGCGGTTTTCTGTTACCACCACTGTTCAGGCTGCCTTCCTTAGACTTACAAGACAGATATATATAGTAGATTTATCCCTCCCCACCTGCACATGAATTAAATTGGAGAGCAAGACACCTGATCCAAGAGCTTAGTTTTCTGCAATCAAGAGCCAATACAGGTTAGAGAAGCATTTTAAGAAATATTGGTGACAAGTCAGATGTATTTCATGAGTATTTGATCACTTTCAATTTCAGTAGCAGAAGCTTACAGTATACATCTGTGTGATGACTTTAGGTTTGGGATAAGCATGTACATTATTTGACTTCTCTGAAATGGTTTCTATTTATACCCAAGTTTGAACTTGAGTCAAAATGATGTTTTTCCATCATACAGATAAATTCAAAATCTGTGCTACATAATGCCAATTTTTTTATACATTTTTTCTTGTTTCACTCATGTTTACATTGTTGATATTTAATAAAATAATCTTGTAACTGAAATGGAGGAAGTCATCAACTGGAAAACAGTCTTTTTTAGAAAAGCATCTAAAAATCAAAGAAAAAAAAATACAAAACAAACCAAAAGGCACATTCAGAGGAACACAGCTAGCTCTAACTCTGCAAAGCCTGGCATCTCTTGTACATATCCTTATCAGTGTTGTCAACTCCGGCTTTTATTGTAAGTCCTATTATGTGCTGGGTTCAAGATCAGAGTTCTGAAGCCATGTGCAAATGTGAGAATTTTTTCTTCATTTTTTAAAAAACTTTCTGATCTTCATAACTGCAGAAGAGATGAATATAACCGAGATGAACCATACAAGTATCAGAAAGTTAATTATATATACATTTATTTTTTTTACATCTCCATTTGTATTCTTATCTCTGGGGGAGCTGAAATGTGAGCTTTGTGCTGCAGTGATATTATGAGAGTTTTTATGAGCCTGCTCTTTTTTGTAGATTTTCTTTTTAATCTTTAGAGAATCAAAGAATTGCAGTGTTATAGCAGCAATCTTGTATGTGACATTTAATGATGGCACCTCTGACCTTTCCAGCTTTAGCTACATTTAGTTCTTGTTATTTCTCCCTTGTCTGTCCTTCCCCTCTCACTCTCAGGAAAGGACACACAGTCACAGCAATACCGATTAATAGCAGAATTCAAGTCCACACAATTATGTGAGACAATGTGTTGCCTTAAATTACACATTTCAGATGCTTCTATTGTTTCTGCCATCTGCTTTCCCCTCTGAGGCATTTGAACTGGACACACTGCAGCATTATCAACACTAACTACACTTAAACTACTACTGTGAAGTAGGAAGCCACCTTTTATTAAAAGGCAGTAACAAAAAAATCCAACCCTCCCTCCTCTCCAAAACCCCACCAAAAGTATTGAAGGCCCAGAAGGTCTTCCCTGTGAGCAGGTCCCAGGTGAAACTATGAGATTTTGCAGATGGATCTCTGACCATAGTGGTCTGTTTACATACACACTGTGTTAAATACAAAACCACACTTAGATTTAATTTATAAGATGCAAATAGTTGAAAGAAGGTAATTTTAATTTAAATTTTGCTTTTGTGCTTGTGTGGAAATAACACATACATATACCATGTGACTATGATTTACTGCAACTTGCAGTAGTGCTAGAATGAAAGAGAATGAGTAAAGGAAAAGAAGTGATCTCAACATTATAATACATCAGCTGTCACCATCAGAGCCTGCTCAAGGTTTGTGGACAGAAACACAGCTGTGATAAAGGGGCCACAAAAGAGGGCTTGTAAGCTCAGGTTACTACTCCTGCATAGGGAATAGGAGAACCAGGTGATTGCTGCTGCTCCTAGAAGTGTGTCCCCCTCCTCTGCCAAGAATAGGGGCCTGGGCTGGCAGCAGGGGCAGTAGCTGAGCCAGCACGACTTTCCAGAGCTCCTGAATAGCCAAGCCAGGCAGGGCCCTACTGCTTTTCCCACCAACCTACTGGTCACTTCGTATATACCTAGAATTGGCTCTTAAAATTATGTTTTCTTTGCCTTGAACTGAGCCTATCATGGTCACTCTTAAAGAGCAATTTTAAACAGTATTTGTTTGTGCCTTTTATGTACTACAGCTCTTATCTCTGGATTTTAATATGGTGAGCCTAGAAACACTGCAGATACAACTGTACTAATTAACTTGCAAAGTACTCAGTACTTTTGTCGTCAATGACCCATGTAAAGACAGACATCTGAATGACAAAATAGCACCCAAATGGAAGTTCAATGCAAATGAGCTATTACATTAAGAAAAAGTGTAGTAAATAGCTAATTGGTTTAAATAGATGTTTGACTGGAAACAGTGAATAGTGTATTCATTTGACAAGGACGCAGAATTACAGGGATTTCTTTCCATGTATAAATACACATGAATATTTTATGATACTCATATGCACGTGACATCAATATGCATGCTCTGCAGCACTTCTTACTGGAATAAGGATATTAGGTAATGCTGGGACTGAAACACAGGAGGACTTAACGTTTTTATGGGAATTCTAACTATGATGTCCGACCAGTTTGTTCAAGGTGGAGCTCAAATGAGTTTAGTTGCAGCAAGCAGCCTCAGCAGTGGCCTGAGGAGAAAGGCACACACCCAAACAAGTGATGATCATTCCCAAAGAATAAAAATGCATTTTACCCAAATGCTGTTTTTCAGGGCTCCTAACAACCTCCCAGTTGAGGCCAGTTCTGCACCTACTTTGTGAAAATCTTAATGATGACAATTCTGTATGTTGCAGTCTGGACTGAAGCTCTTCACAAATGCTGAACTACATTCCCCTAGAATAACATGGTCCCATCACTAAAGTACTATACACTATACTAGCAATCTGAACTTCCTCTAGCAAACTAGGATTGGCATTTCAAAACTTACTTTTTGAACTTGTTTATTATCCCACTTTCATTTTTCTTCATGTCATGCACCATCTTTTGAAGCTTCCTGTAAGACAGTAAAGAAAACAAGCATTAAAATTAGCATGTGGTTGAACACATTTATATAAATTAAGATAAATATAGAATCATAGAATAGTTAGGGTTGGAAAGGACCTTAAGATCATCTAGTTCCAACCCCCCTGCCATGGGCAGGGACGCCTCACACTAAACCATATCACCCAGGGCCTCGTCCAACCTCGTCTTGAACACAGCCAGGAATGGAGCATTCACAGCTTCCCCGGGCAACCTATTCCAGTGCCTCACCACCCTAACAGGAAAGAATTTCCTCCTTATATCCAATCTAAACTTCCCCTGTTTACGTTTTAACCCGTTACGCCTTGTCCTATCACTACAGTCCTTAATGAAGAGTCCCTCCCTGGCATCCCTATAGGCCCCCTGCACATACTGGAAGGCTGCTATGAGGTCTCCACGCAGCCTTCTCTTCTCCAGGCTGAACAGCCCCAACTTCCTCAATCTGTCTTCATACAGGAGGTGCTCCAGTCCCCTGATCATCCTCATGGCCCTCCTCTGGACTTGTTCCAACAGTTCCATGTCCTTTTTATGTTGAGGACACCAGAACTGCACACAATACTCCAGGTGAGGTCTCACAAGAGCAGAGTAGAGGGGCAGGATCACATCCTTCAACCTGCTGGTCACACTCCTTTTGATGCAGCCCAGGATACGGTTGGCTTTCTGGGCTGTGAGAACACACTGCTGGCTCATGTTCATTTTCTCATCAACCAACACCCCCAAGTCCTTCTCTGCAGGGCTGCTCTGAATCTCTTCTCTGCCCAACCTGTCGCTGTGACTGGGATTGCTCTGACCCAGGTGTAGGACCTTGCACTTGGCATGGTTAAACTTCATGAGGTTGGCATCAGCCCACCTCACAAGCGTGTCAAGGTCCCTCTGGATGGCATTCCTTCCCTCCAGGGTATCAACCGAACCACACAGCTTGGTGTCATCGGCAAACCTGCTGAGGGTGCACTGAGTCCCACTGTCCATGTCAGTGACAAAGATGTTGAACAAGACCGGTCCCAACACTGATCCCTGAGGGACGCCACTCGTTATTGGTCTCCAGCTGGGCATTGAGCCATTGACCACAACCCTTTGCGTGTGGCCATCCAGCCAGTTCTTTATCCACCGAGTGGTCCATCCATCAAATTGATGTCTCTCCAATTCAGAGACAAGGATGTCGTGCGGGACAGTGTCAAACACTTTGCACAAGTCCAGGTAGATGACATCAACTGCTCTACCCCTGTCCATCAGTTCCACAGCCCCATCATAGAAGGCCACCAAATTGGTCAGGCAGGATTTCCCCTTAGTGAAGCCATGCTGGCTGTCACCAAGCACCTTGTTGACTTTCATATGCCTTAGCATGCCTTCCAGGAGAATCTGCTCCAAGATTTTGCCAGACACAGAGGTGAGACTGACTGGTCTGTAATTCCCTGGGTCATCCATTTTCCCCTTCTTGAAAATGGGGGTTATATTTCCCTTTTTCCAGTCATCGGGAACTTCACCTGACTGCCATGATTTCTCAAATATGATAGCCAGTGGTTTAGCAACTTCCTTTGCCAGCTCCTTCAGGATCCACGGATGGATTTCATCAGGACCCATGGACTTGTGCATGTTCAGATTTTTAAGATGGCCTTGAACCAGATCCTCTCCTACAGTGGGCCCAAGGTCTTCATTCTCACAGTCCCTGCATCTGCCTTGCAAGACTTGCCAGTGAAGACCGAGGCAAAGAAGTCATTCAGAACCTCAGCGTTCTCCAAATCCTGTGTAGCCAGTTCTCCTGAGAGCTTCCTGAGGGGGCCTGCGTTCTCCCTAGTCTGTTTTTTATTTGCTATGTACCTGTAGAATCCCTTCCTGTTATCCTTAATACCCCTAGGCAAGTTTAATTCTAACTGGGCCTTAGCTTTCCTAACCTAAGCTGAATGTATGTTCAGTAAGTAGTTTACTTGCTAAATTCTTTCTATATGAAGTTTTCCTTCCTTTTTAACAGAGCTCCTTGGCATGATTTGTTATCCTTCTTGATACAATTAAGCACAGTTTAAACACTCGAGTAAGTGCATCAAGAAATAACATCATTGGCCGAATTAATAGCTTAGCGTATTTCACAGCTATAATAGGAATACTCTCTGATTTCTCACTGTACGCGAGTCATTTTATCAGTAGTCGGTTTACCTCATTCTCCTAGTGTTTGTAGTTATAATAGGAGGGGGGAACTGGTACATTCCCAGGCCCAGGCCATCTGAGAAACCGTTAGAGTACCTGTAACTCTGAGCTGTGAAAATTCGCTATCTTAAGATTCCAGCTACATGGACTGATATCCGGAATCACAGATTGTTTTCATTCATCGCCTGCACTGACCTCATTGCATTTTTACTTGTAATCAAGGCAGTGAATCTCATTTTTCACTCAGTAAGTATAATTTAGAATCCCACCTCCCTTTTCATTTAAAACCCCACACCACTAAAATCATGTCAATGTCAGGAACACAGACATAACTTTCTGCAAAAGACTGATTTTACATTGAAACATGTTGGAAGTCTGGCTATACTAGAAAATGCCACAGAATGCATACTTTTTTAAGTTTTTTTTTCACACAGGATATGTTCTTCCCATTCACCCAAACTAATAATTTTTTTTATTAGACCTGAGCTGAAGATTTTATCATAATAAAAGAAAGCAATCATTTTCTTCAAAAAGGGTTTAAAAGAATTTTTGCTATCCATTCTTCATAACAAGTTGTCTATGTCATTCCACATTTTAGTCTTGACTACCTCATCTCTGATGCACAATAAGGCTACCAAATGACTTGGAAGCTTGGCTTACAAAGAGAAGTACAAGCATCAAAGTAGTCTTTCTCTTTTTTAAAGCTTGCTTTAAACTTGAAACCTTATTATTCAGAAAGCTGAGTAATGCATACAGCTGCGCTAAAAAAAAGCTATCTTGCAGCTTCATCATTAGTAATTATGGTTGTCTCTTAAAAAAAAGTAAAATAGCTTTTTCAAAGGAAATGGGAATTAGATAGGAATTAGCTAAACAAAACTGGGAAATAACTGAACTAATGTGATTATCTGTCTGCAGTCCCTGGTTCAGGCTGAATAGACATGTAGCCAACAAAGGCATCAGGTAGCAGTTGAGTATTAGGCTTAGGCTGAAAGGAACCTTCCTACCTCTGCTACTGATTTTAGGGCAATTGTGGTAGTTAGTCACGTTTAATCTCACTTTATGAGATTTGCTTAAAAAGAACAGTTAAATAACTGAGTACTTGTAAGTTGTTGGAGTCCTGAATTAAATAATAAAGCTTAATTTTAGTCTTAATACAGTTTATTAACACAACAAACTGCTCCTTTCATTATGTTGGCTGGATTGAAAACTATTCCACATTTTCAGCAGCCCTGTAATACAACATGGAATATCCTGCTCTGACAGGCTATGTCAAAAGTCTGATATTTAAAGACTATTCCTAGAGCCTAAATCGCTGCTCAATTTTACTTAAAAAAACCAATGTCAACCTATTCTTTTGTCAACTCAAAAAAATCAAATTATAAGTGACAAATAACTCACAAGCATGTCTTTAGCTCAAAACTCCCACTATTAGTTTACAGCAAAAGGATATAGTGTTACCTGCTAATATAGGGGAAAAAAATACTGATACTTATAGGTATCAGAAACAGCTGCATAGCAAAATGTTTTGAGATTTCCTGCAACAATGCACTACCTCCGTAAGAAGCTAGGATTATTATCTACACTAAACAGATACATTAAATATGCAAATCTGGGGTGAAGATCTCAGAAGTACTTGTTTTCCATGGGGTTTGGTTGTTTGGGTTTGGTTGTTGTTTTTTTTTTTCCCTAAATAGAGCCAACTTCTGGTTATGCTTGAAACATCACAAATACCCACCCTTCTGCAGTTTGCTCTTTCTGTCTCGTACACCAGTTGGTGCCTGGCAATGTCTATAAATGCAAAGTAATCAGTAATGAAAAGAATAAGAGGAGGTTTAAATGGTTTAGTTCTAGTTTGTGGAGAACGGTTGTCTGCAAGTGTTTGTGTCCTTTTCAGAAAAGCTTGCCAGCCTTAAACTAGAAATGCATGCAAGTGTAAGTCATTTTTCTTCCTGTGTTTGTTGTTTGTTAGAGATAGGACCCAAGGTGTTTGATTTTTCACGTGACTGATTTTATTTTACATTTGCACTTTGGTCTCTAAGAAAATCCACACACACACAAATAAAATCCACCCCCAAATTTACAACTACAAGTACCCAGAACAGTTTTCATTTCATCATATTTAGGTGAATTGATCAGACTATCGTGGGTGTCCCCTATGTACTGAATAAAGCTATAGTCTAAAAGAACATTTTAATACTTATTTCTATTAAAAAAAAAAGCAGCATTTAAATTAAAGGTAATTGCACATCCTGCTGGACTGAAATCAAAACATTCTCATTTTTGCATAATGAGATTTCCTCAAAGTCTCTGCCTTGTATTTCTCATTCTTTTTCTGGAGCCATTTAATTTTCTAATTACATGTTGCAATAAATTAGGGAGTACCTAACATGTATTTGTGTGAATTTTTTCAATTTTTTAAGTTATGTAGCGCTTGTAGGAGTTGCTAGAATACTTAGCTTGTTACCTCTGGACAACTTAACCTGTGAGAGTAAGCAGATAACCAGGGCACTTTAGAGCTGTAAGTGTAGGAAGTCATCATGAATGGATGATCTCCAGTTCAAGTGGAATCTCCTTTGACCCATGAAGTTGAACAAGCTGCAAAACCAGTCTGTGCAGTTATCCAGAGGCTGAGATTTCTTGAGGTGCCAGCTGGTACAATAGGCTAAAACTGACAAGTTTTACAAAGAGCTGTCTGACTTGTGATTTCAGACAGTAGAAATGAGAGGCAGACAGCAAACCCTGTAGCAAAAGGAGTCTCCAAATCTTACGGGTCTCAAACCCAAGCCCAAAGGCCATTCCAGAGAAATGAGGAAAGTGAAGCACAGCAGGGAA